TCACCATGGCAGGCTGGGTACTGATGTGGAAGAGTGACTGCTGCTAGACAGTTGTGCATGAGAAGCAGTGGGAGTGGGTAGGGTGAGGGTGAGGCCCTCCCTGACTTCCTGAGCCTGCCAACAGCAAGTACATTGGGCCCCTTCCCGCTAAATCTCTTACATCTCACAATTTCACAAAGGCCCCTGGACCAGCTTTCCCTTCTCTTTCTCCAGATAGATTTGAAGGAACAGGGACAACTCTTGCATCGGGACCCATTCACTGTCATCTGTGGCCGGAAAAAGTGCCTCCGCCATGTCTTTCTCTTTGAGGATCTGCTCTTATTCAGCAAGTTAAAGGGCTCCGAGGGAGGGTCTGAGACCTTTGTTTACAAGCAGGCTTTCAAGGTATGTGGCATGGAGTCGGGGTATTGTACCATGTTCAACATGAGAACTCAGATTGTTCTGGAAGTTCAGTCTCAAGCAGGTTCAGAATCTTCATCACCTAAAACAGGTTTTGGCCTACAATTGGTCATCAATTTTAGGGTATCAGAAGGTGAAAGAAAGCCCTCCATTGGTCAACCCCTTTGGGCCTTCCATATAATTCAAGGAGGCATTTCAAGGCAGAATGGAAAACAACCTTCCCAATGAGAACACGCATGTCTTCTGGACAGTGGTGACACACACCTTTAATCCCAGCACTAAGGAAGCAGAGGCAGGGGGATCTCTGAGTTCCAGGCCAGACTGGTTTACAAAACCCATTCCCAGGATAGCCAGGGCTACTCAGAGAAACCCTGTCTAGAAAAAAAAAAAAAAACCCACATGTCTTTTGAGTTAGAGGTGGTCCCTGAAAGGGCAGCACACACACACACACACACACACACACACCCTTTGATTTCACTGAACTAAACAGAACTTGCTTTGGGCATCTAGCCAGAAATAAACATTCATAGCAACCCACAGTCCTGGATCAGGTGAAATAATAGTTTCCAAACTGTCCTTGTATTAGTTCCAGCTCTGCAAAGATAGGACAGAGGGAAGGGTCTGTGTTTGCTCTAGTAAGCTGCTTCGTGTCTCAGACAGTCTCCTTTTCCCTTTGTAAACCAAAGCTGTTATTGTGCAGAGTGCCTGGTATCTCTGACAGATGTTGAACATCTACCAAGCTAAACATGGCGCTTGCCAGTGTGGTGCCACCTAGCAAGGACACCTCTATCTTCATCCCTCTTTCTCCTTCCCCTCCTCAGACTGCTGACATGGGGCTGACAGAAAACATTGGGGACAGTGGACTCTGTTTTGAGCTTTGGTTTCGGCGGCGGCGTGCACGAGAAGCATACACTTTGCAGGCTACCTCACCAGAGATCAAACTCAAGTGGACTAGTTCTATTGCCCAGCTTCTATGGAGACAGGCAGCCCACAACAAGGGTAACTGATAGATCATAGAGGAGTTGTGCTTGGGATGGGTTACAGGTTTACTGGAGAGTATGGAAGATGGTAGGAAAGATGCCTTAAGAGACTATTCAAAGTCTGGTTCAAGAGATATAGCTGAGACAGAATTAGCCAGAAGAAAAGAGAAAGCTCCAAATTTCCAAGGAACAAGAGCAGATGTCTCCACAAAAGAGGTGCAAAACTGCTTACCAGATTGGGCTTAAGGAAGACTGGTGCCACTTACTTGCTGTGTGACCTGGACTAATAGCTTTTCTTTGGTGTTGGTTGGTACTGGGTTTTGATTTGGTTTGTTGTTGTTGTTGTTGTAATTCTCTGAATTGTTCTGTTAATCTGAAAAAGGCATAGTACTTTTTTGATCTGTGTGACAGGGAGGCTCGAGTAGGTTGACACATACAGAAGAGATGTGCAAAAGCATGACTTTTGCTCTTAATGTCCATGACAAAGGGAAGCTGAGTGTTCTATGAACTGACTGGCCAGGAACATAGCTCACTGGGTAAAAGTGTTTGTCATGCAAGTGTGAAGACCTGAGTTCAAATCCCCAGAACCCACATAAAAGCCAGCAGTAAGTACTGCAGATGTAGTAAAACAGGAACATCTGTAATCTCATCACTGTTAAAGAGCACATGGGAGGTGAAGACAGGAATTTCCCCCAGAAGCTTGCTAGACAGCCAGCCTGGCACATGCACACCAAAATGGTTAAGAGATCAGCCATAAAACAAGGTGGCAAGTGAAGATTAGCCATTACCTAATGTGTCCTCTAACCTCCAAATGTTTGCGCCTACCTTCGCATCCAGATGTGCAAATGCACACTCATCTTGTACACTAATCAGGTGGTTAGGAGGCTAAATGGGCAGGATGAAGTGTATAGCAGAGAACAGATGCATGTCTGAAGAGGTCAAATATCACCCTCACAATCTATGCATGCCATGATAGTCAAGGGGAGATGCCAGGAGGGAAGCGTGGTTAAGAGCTGGGAAAGAGAATCAACAGGGATGTGCTAACACCAAGGCATGAGGGCCAAGAGAAGGTTGCAAACAGGGTCTCTGTTCCCTAGAGCTCCGAGTGCAGCAGATGGTTTCCATGGGCATTGGCAATAAACCTTTCCTGGACATTAAAGCCCTGGGGGAACGGACACTGAGTGCCCTGCTCACTGGAAGAGGTGAGGTCCAGGGTGCTGGGGGGTGCTCCCACAAGTCAGGCCTTGACTGATGATATAAAAGCAATGGGGAGATGCCAGGAAGGACACTGAGTGCTGAGTGGGCATCTCTTCCCAACGTGGGGACTCCCTGGGAAGCCCTCTGTGAGCTATTCCAGGGAGCCAGGAGGACTTTTCCACACCAGCACCCCACCACCCCAACTCCCCACTCTCTGCAGCCGCCCGCACCCGGGCCTCCGTAGCCGTGTCATCTTTTGAGCATGCTGGCCCGTCCCTTCCCGGCCTCTCACCGGGAGCCTGCTCCCTGCCTGCCCGCGTCGAGGAGGAGGCCTGGGATCTGGACGTCAAGCAGATTTCCCTGGGTGAGGCACCTCTCAAGGGGTGGCCCCCAACCGCTGGGTCATGGTGATGTTCAGGCTGCCTATTGCTGAGCAATTCCTTTTTCTAGCCAAGTAGCCCGGTTGCCATGACAACTACATACAGCTTCCCCATTGCTAAAAGAGCCTTCCATCTGGTTGCTAGGGAGATGCTTACAGCAGCCTTTTACTAAGAAGCACTTCTTCTGTACCTTTCTCTCTAGCTCTCCTTGAGTTTCTATGGAAACTGCCTCAGCTTCCTGTTGTACCCTCCTGGTTCACCACGGCAATTCTTAGTTTCCTGTTGCTTCTTCCCTGGTTGCTCTAATGATGCTGCTGACAATTTCCTGCCTCTTGGTAGGGGGGTTCTCTTGCAACTGAATTGCTATGGTGACTCACAGCTTCCTGTTGCTATGGAGCTTCTTCTTCTCTGCCGGAGGAGCTTGGTTACTGAAGGTAATCGGGAAGGGATTTATACCTTACTCTCACCCAAGCTTCCCCTCCAGCCTCAGAAACACTTGACTCTTCCGGAGATGTGTCCCCAGGACCGAGAAACAGCCCCAGCCTGCAGCCTCCGCACCATGGGAGCAGCACTCCCACTCTGGCCAGTGGAGGGATCTTAGGGCTAGCCCGACAGGTAAGTCCCTGCAATAAGGCTGGGAGCAGGTGGTCTCTTTCTGGGTAGGCTTTTCTGATCATCTGACAAACTGGGGAGTAGAGGAACTAATTGTTACCACTCTCAGCTGATGCCACAGATTGGGTTTATTATCCAGTCTGCCTTTCTCCTCTCCCCTAGGCCTGGCTGAGAAGCATCAAGGTCAGAGGTAAAAAAAAAAAAGCTTTAAGAAGCAGGGAGAGACATGCACAATAGAGAACATGTCTAAACACACTGCAATTTCTGTGTCCTCAGAGTCATTCCCGAGCCCTGAGTGATCCCACCACGCCCCTGTAACCTGGTAAGTCAGCACCCCGTTCTCCTACATCCAGCATGCCTTCCCCGATTTTGAGGACCTTCGTTCCTGACCTCAGATGCACACAAGTCAGCTTCTTGCCTCTCCCAACCCATCTCCCTCTTCTTTCCTGGCTTCCAGAGAAGATCCAGAACTTGGCTGCAGCCCCTTGCCAGCACTTTTAGGCTGATATGCCAATGGGACATAATGGAGGACTAAGCTCTCAATTCCCTCCCTCTGCTTCCTGGACAGAGCAGAGGGCAAGGACCAGAGTTTCCCCTGCCACTGCTATCTCTAGCTCTCCCCTGCTTGGTGCCTTCTGCTGCAGGAACCAGAGTGGCCCTGTGTGCTTGCCTTTATGCCCTGGGTACAGGGACCCATCCCTCTTCCAGCCCCCTCCCCCACCATCCTGTGCTACTGCACAACTGCGGGACACTTGCTGCTGACAGCCTGCTTCTCTTCCCATCCCAACTCTCCCGGAAGATCCATCTCTGCCAGGTCGGATGGAATTCCATTCTGGGGTATCATGGGATGTGAAGTGTTATAAGCCATTGAAGCAGATGGGGTGGGCGTTGCAAACGTTATATATGTAATTACTGTTATACTATTGTTATATTAAATGTATTTACTCTCATTGTGCCTCCTGAGGGCCAGAGCAGGCCTCTGCATTAAGGTGTCTGAATGAACTTGAATACTTCCCTATAACCACTAACTAGAATTCAGAAAATAAAACCAAGGCCAGAGAGTAAGCTGTTCTCCCCTTTACTGGCCCAAAACTGATAGTGCATGAGTGTGGGAGAAGGCACCTCCCCCTCAGAGGCTGCAAGCTCAATGAACTCTTTGAAGTTCCTTCTCCATTTTGTACCCACTTCTTGAGGCTGAGATGGTCAGGTGGGTCCAGCATAATGCAGTTGTCTAGTGAGGCCATCAGGCGGGGGGTGGGGGGGGGGTGGGGGGGGGACCCTTAGGCTACTGGTTTCCAATGCTAATTCTTAGGGCCCACCCAGAGTTACTGAATCTGAAGTCTGGAGCTAAAGCAAATTTTGCATCCTTAATCAAGTTTTTTGATAATGAGAACGCCTAGGGAGACCAAAACACGGGCAGACACACAGGGCCTTGTGCCTCAAGACACCTGTTTATTGGGGACATGACTCTTCAACAGGGATGACAGGAATCGTACCAAAAATAGCAACGTCTACAGGGCCCCTGACAGGGCTAGAAGGGTACAGTGCCCCCCACCCCCACCCCTTATACAAAAATAAACTCTCATGCCTATGGACCAGCAGAAACTGGCAGAGTGGTTCCTCACCAGGAACACATCCTCTACCAGCCCTAGGACCCCGTTCTTTGACCCTCACCTCTGCCACTTCTAAGGCACTGTGACTCCCCTGGGCTGGGTGGGTACTGCTTGCCCACCCTCCTTCACCCACTGCCCACTTTATCTCTTGGTCCACCTTGGGCTGGGATACGGGTCCCACACTGCTCCCTGCTGGCTGCTCTACCCAACTACCTCTAGCGCTTCCCTGCTCCTGCGGGGTAAGCTTACTAAGCTAATCACTCCTAACAGGGCTCCCTACCGTTCCTGCCCCCCAAGACCTGCCTCCCCAGATCTAGACAGCCCAGGGCTGCCCTCCTCTTCTAGTGGAGGGCTGGGAGGCGTTTCTCCTGATGGTGCTCGGGCATAGGGTGGAGATGTGTCAGGCCGGGGCTGCCGGCGGCCCCGAGCCCGACGGCTGTGGTGTACTTGCAGATGCAAGGCCATGAGCTCAGGAGCTCCAGTGGCAAAGGGGCAGAAGAGGCAGCGGTGAAGGGCACCCCCTGATCCGGCTTCACCTCCCGGGCCTGCCCGTAGGGACAGGTCCAGGGGCTCGGCCTCACCACCTCTCCCGTTGCGCAGGGTCCTCCCAGGGCTGGCAGGCTTCCTACGGGACCCTGCTCCGGTGCTGCTTGAAGAAGGCCGGGTACTTGCAGTGCCCTCCACCCAGGTGGCAGAGGCCTGAGTTGGCTTGGCTCCTGACTGCGGCTGCAGTGAGGCAGAGCCCCGTGGGGAAGGGGGCGGGGGTTCTGGAGGAGGCCCAGGCCCTGCACTGCTCCTTTGCTCTCGGTGGTGACGCTGAAGGTGATACTTGAGCGAGCCTGATTGGGTACCTGCATAGTCGCAGTGTGGACACTTGTAGGGACGCTCACCTGGGAAGAGCGGATTAACAGTAGGTTATGGGGTCACTATCAAGTGCGCGCGTACCCCCATCACTCACACTCACACACACACACACACACACACACACACACACACACACAGGCATTTTGCTCAATTTACAAACTTCATTCCAAGGCCCAAGAGCAAATGCTGATTCCCCAGTAAGTGATTTATAAGAATATGAAAGCTGCCCAGCATGACCTCCTGCCTTCTGGACCTTTCCTCTCCTAGACCCCCTCCCCCATGAGGAATGCTTCCTCACCTGTGTGCACACGAAGATGCACTTTCAGGTGATGCGCCGAGCGGAAAGATTTTCCACAGAAGGGGCAGTCTTTGCCAGTGGCCCCACGGCCCGCTTCGGATCGGGTCCCTCCAACCAGCAGCCCATTTTCTTCTGTAACACGTTAAAAGAAATTATAGTGTCTCACTATCTTGTCCCAGTCAGGTAGACCATTACACCCACCATCTCTCTAGGCCCAAGAGGTTTAGGGGAAAGTAGATTTGTTAAAAGAATTAGCACCCTTAGGGGGCCACAAAGCTTCCCAGTAGGAAAAAAAAAAAAGCCCAGAAGACATCGAAGACAGGTCTTTTGGAAAGGAAACTATAGGAGTGGTGGCCCAAGTGTTGACCAAATGCGGGCAACCCAGAGAGAAATAAGTGTGGACATACCTTGGGTGGCCGTAGGTCTTGCCTGGGTCCCCATGGCAGGTGCAGGTTGTCCTGACCCCTCACCTGGGTGGGGGTGCAGGGAAGTCAGAGTGCCCAGCGACCTGCCCCGGGCCCAGCTCTCCTCTTCCGCCTCCACCACCTCTTCCTCCTCCTCTGGTTCCTCTGTACGGTGTCGCCGGGCACGATTGGGAAGAGCTGAAGGCAGCGGGCGGAATCCTCCTCCATAGCTTCGGCCAGCTCCAGGGTCCGCACCCTCACCATTGGGTCGTACTTCCCCAGCTCGTACACTCAGGTAGCCTAAGAGGCTTGGGGGCTCTCGGCGCTCAGCCGGGGTGGGTGCTGGGGCCAGTAGGAGCGCAGGGCCCAGAGGCTCATAAGCCAGCAGGCTCAGGTCAGGAGGCTGAGGGGCCCTGGCAGGGGTAGAGCCAGGCCCCGGGGAACGCAAAGGGCCCAGCTTGCTGGTGTGCACCTTCATGTGGTTCTTAAGGAACCAGGGCTCCTTGAAGCAGCGGCCACACACGGGGCACGCATGATCAAAAGAGGCCTTGTGCTTGCGCATATGACCCTTGAGGAACCAGGACTGTGTAAAGCTCTGGCCGCACACCTGGCAACGGAACTCAGGTGGCGCAGGGGGTTCCTCCGGAGGTGCAGGAGTTGGGGCAGGGTTCGCCTCACGTTCAGGCTCGGGCCTAGGTTCAGGTTCAGGCTCAGGCTCAAGGGCAGATCTGGGTTCTGGCTGGGGTGGAGGCTGGGGTTCTGGCGTCGAAGTAGCCGCCAGGGGGCGCTCGGAAGCCCCATGGGCCGTCAGACTGTGGTGCAGCAACTCCTCCTCCTGGCTGGAGCCAAAACTGCACAAGCTGCACTTCCAGGGCCTGTGCAGGATGTGCAGGTGGCGTTCCCTCTCCGCTGAGGTGCGAAACTTGCCTTTGCAGAAAGGGCAACGGAAGGCAGACGAGGAAGGAACCTGAGGGCGTGCCACGCCCTCTGTGACTGGGGTGGCCTGCATGCCCCCTGAGCTTCTGGCTCTCCCCAGTTGGGCTTCACGCAGCAGGGCACGTTCCTCCAACTCCAGCAACAGGCGTGCAGCAGGGCTTCGTGGACGCTCAGGTTGGTGCGTTCGGAGATGTGAGCGCAGCAGGGCCCGCTGAGCCGCGCGGTGGCCACAATGTGGGCACTGGAAGGCTTGGGCGCCGGGGTGGGCTCGCAGGTGCAAAGCCAGGATGGAATTGAATCGGAAGCGCTTTCCGCACACAGGACAGGGGAAGCGCCTTTCGCCTGCACGAGTCTCAGACCAGCCCACTGCTCCCATCCCAGGCGACCCGGTGCTCACACCCGGTCCGTTGGAGTAGTGCTGTAGATCCAGCTCGCCGTCGAAGGCTGGTGGGGAAGGCTCTAGGTGGCCGACCAAGATGCGGGGACGTGAGCCCTGTAGGGAAAGATGTACATAGAGGAGAGGGTGGAAAGGGCCTATCTATGGAAAACGCAAAGGTATCGAGGGCGCGAAGAACGGAAAATAAGAGTGTGTAGCAGGCTGGGACCCGACCTGGGTACACTGGTGCCTCTCACCTCCAGAAGTGGGATAGATGGAAGTTAGATACTGGGGCCAAGTTAATAACATATATTACTACACTAAGAAGTGAAAACGCGGACAGGAGAGGGAGTACCGTTGAAGGTACTTGCAGGTCAAGGACAGAGCTTCACTCACCTCCATGGACCCCTTCACATTCTTTGGTTCTGAGGGTTGGAAGGAGGAGGAAGGAAAGCTGCTAATGAAGGCAACAGGTGCGGAGGTGCTAAAACAAGACAGATTGATTGGAGGAAAGATGAGCCCTGGCTTTCAGCAGTAAAGCCACCCCGCTTTGCAGCCTGTATTCTTAAAACCCATCCCTTCTCCCTACTTGAACCTTGAGGTATCACATGCTTCTTGTTTGCTGTCCTCAAAACTTGCACTCTTTTATCAGCCAATTTGTATGACAAACCAAGAATTCCTCCCCCAAATGATGTTTTAAACACCTAGTCCGAAAACACCCCCCTACACACACACAATGTGGGAGGCCATCATAGTATACCCCTCTTCCACTTGCATTGGGCTGTGCCACTGGATAAACAAATGTGGAGGGCTAGCCATACTCCTGTTATCCAAGTGGTACCAGCTCCTCAGACCCAGGCCCAGCCAGCCAAAATCCCTCCAGGTTCCTCCTCCTTGCTTTTGCCGGCACCCAGTCTTCTGGTCTTTCCTCTTCCCCCTCCCCCTTCCTGGATTCCTGATCCATTCATTTCCATTCATTACAGAGACTCATTCATGCATGGGAGAGAAACACCTCCCAGCAGCAGAGTCTGGAGACGGAGGGGGAGGGGCGTGAAGGGAGAGCCAGCTACAGAGGGAATGAAGAGAGTTGGGGGAGGCGTGGAAGTTAAGGGGCACTAGCAGCCTAGGGAAGGGGTTAAAAACGGCAGATCCCATTTAGGTTTCACCCCGTTTCAAACCTTGGAGCCAGTGGTTTGATGGGGCATCTCAGCCCCTTTGTCCAGAGCTGTTCCGAGGCAGGCTTTCCTCCTCTCTGCAGGGGAGAGGCTTCCTCACACAAGAGGAGGATTACACTGGCTCTGAGCTCAAGAGGCTGGAGTGAGGGACGGGGGGCGGGGCCTTGCCATCTGCACAGATAGGGGGATCCACACATGCTCTGAGCAGGAAAGGGTTAAAATTCTCCATCTAAAATTCCCTATCCCTGACAAGTGCTGTACAGGGCAGGGAGGAGAGTTGAGGGAGAGGATGGTGAGGGGAGGGTCTCCTGGCAAGGTCATGGAATTAGACTTCAGTGGATGGCCACAAGTCACCCACTCTTGCCTTCCTCCTTGTATCTTGTTCAGGCTAGATGAACTTGGGCCTAGCTTTTTTTTTTTTAACCTCAGACATAATATTTGATAAAGAACTTCCTTACAATGAGACTTATGAAACTGAATTACTAAGAAAGAAAAGGACTCAAGCATTACTTTACTTACAAATCTTTAATTGAAGTGAACTGGGCCAGGAGTGAGCCCTGCTTATCAGCAGAGAAAAGTCTGGGGCTTTAAAGCGCATTTTCCACATCGAGTGGATGTGGCAAGACTCTACTACCAAGGGGCAAACACCTGTTACATGCAGACTCTGACCTTTGAGAGCATTATCAGATACATTAACAAAAGGTCCTGCCCAAGTGTCACTGGACAGCCACTGTCACTTAATGTGTGTGTTTCTGTGGGTCCAAATTGAGGCATCTATTCTTGTCCTATGAACCCTCCAAATAAGCCCTTCACTGGGACCAACAGTCTGATCAGGCTCACTGAAAACTGCATAAAGGTGAATTAGAATAGAACTAAGGGGTAGAAGGCTATTGTAAGCCTGTGTCTTACAACCTTGCGTAAATCGCTGAATCTCTCAGTTTACGTCTATGACAATGAGTTATAATAACCTTACATTTGTAGTCCCTGCCAACTCGACAGTTGTCTGATATTAAGTCCCAAGACTTCTGGCCCCCAAGAGACATTAAAACAGATGGCCATTCCTTCAGTACCATGGAGAGTGCAGTGGGCTACTAGAACCTCCACTTTGGCTACCTCAGTACCACAGATAGAGCTAGGAAGTGCTAGAGGTCACATTGGCCATCTTAGCGCCAAAGAGAGGACACAGAAACTAGTGGGTGAGGAAGAAAAAAGTCCTATTTGGGAACTATGGGTGGGGGGAGTATCAAGGAAACTATGGCCTTTTGGGTGTCACTGAAAATAGAATAGAAAATACACATACCTAGAAAATTTTTAATTAGCTATACAGAATGTCATAACAGTTACAGTTTGTGCATCCTGGAATGAGTTACTGAGGCATCGTACTTGAGTCCATCACATTCTGTTGCTTTCCTGGGGATTCCCGGAACATCCTGGTGTACAGCCAATCTGGTATATTCAGAGGAAGCAGATGGCTGGGAGGGGTGTGTATGTGTGTGAGAATACTGCACGGTCATAGCTGACTAACCTATGGGCACATATTCTGATCCTGAGGAGATTCTAGGGCCTCTAAAATTGCCTGTAAAACACCAAGCAAAAATGTCTCAAAGGAAAATGGCCTAATATCTGAGGCAAAAGGAGCAGAAACACCTCAAGGCTTCCTCCCCCGAACAACAGATCCCACACTCTTGCATGTAGCAGTTTCCAGGATGGAAAGCTGTGACACCTAAGAAAGCAAAAATGGAATCTGAATTTCTCCTCAGGGGAAGCTTCCCAGAAGGTGGCCTAAAATCAGTAAAATCCACCGGGACCTCCTAGGCCCAGTCAAGATGGCTTCCGTCATCTCTCCATCAAACCAGGTCTCGCTCATAAATCGCTCTCAATAGGGGAGAGCACCAGCAGAGACAGTCTGTGACCTGGTGTGGAACCTATGTCAGACATGTATTGTCTGTGGACAATCCTCACATTTTTCTGTACTCAAGGCTTAAACACCACCCCTGAGCTTTGGCCAGAGAGTAGCGCTGACCTACTTTCCACACCCAGTGGGAATCAGGGGTTATCTTGCTCCTGTGTGTATTTTTTTGCGGAGATGTGTTACAAATTAGAAATATTTCCAAAGCAACAGGCCAAGACCACCAAATCTTATGGAGGATGAACTGATGGTGAAAAGACTTACAGAAAAATCAGCTAAACGAAGGTCCAAGAAGATTCTCCCACCCCCCACCCCAAATCATGTGATTCCAAATATTTTAAGGTCAAGTGTTCAGTAGCAAAGGATCAGAGTCTCTGGGGCCTAGTTGTAAGTAGGCCTTTGCCTCTGGTTATCCCCAACACACGACTTTTTCCCCCTTTTTAGTAATCTCTCCTCTCCTAAATCAGCTAATGAATACGAACCACTTGGATAGATGAGAATAAATGGGCAGGGACTGTCTACAGTTGAGACCACCTGGAGAATACATACATGCCAACAGCTCACTTTGATGGTCTCTTCATGGTTCTGTGAACCTCACTATTCTAAAAGCTGCTTCAAACACACACTACACTGAACCTTGACACCTTTTAGAGATAGGGGGGCATGAAATTTCAGTCATGGGCTCCCAAATAACTATCGAGAGGTGAGAGGGAGGTACAATCCCCCCCTACACACACACAATCATATCCTAGACCCATGTTCTAGCATGTCCTAACTTGACCCCGATTCTGAAAGTTCTGAGGAGCCTGGATGGGGGAGGGGGACGCACATATATACAGCCTTAAGTCCCTTTAACTAGAGCGGGCCCTAAAAAGTCGGTGTTAGTGCCTGTAAGAGCCTCGGTTCTCAGGCTGGGAGGTGGGTAGGAGCCCCTCTGGGAAAATAGCCCTCGCAAAAACTGGTAGGCAAGCAGAGCAGGACCTGTGATCTCACACGAGGGACTCCACCAGCTCGCTCACCCCACACTCCACCCGCGGAAAATAATCCAGGATGATGGGGGCAGGGTCGGGAGATAGGGAGGCCAGAGCTCAGCTACCCCGGGCCAGGAGAACAAAAGCAGAGTTACAGCCGCCTCCGCGGCTGCCGCGGGCCGAGCTCTTTGTGACACTTTGTTTGGGACACAGAGAGAAGCACCCCCATCCTCTCCCCTCCCCCCCCCCCCGTGCCCAGCCCGGTCCCGGAGACTTTGGGCCCCTTCCCCACCCCCGCCGGCTGCACCTGGGCCGGGGAGCACCTCCACTCTGCTCACCGTTCTCCCACCGCGCACCCCAGGCCCCCCGCACCCCAGGCCGCGGCGCCCGGCCTCACGGCCCCTACAAAGCCGCGCGCCCCCGCCCCGCGCCGCGGCTCTCCCCTCCGTGCCGGGCTCCCGGCTCCCCCACCTGACCCCCTCCCCCGGGCCCCCCCAACTCTCACGCCTGCCCCGCCGCCCCCACCCCGCCCCCCGGAGCTGCGGGCGAAGTTTGCCGGGGCCGCGCGGCGCCCCTCCCCCGCCCCCGCCCCCTGCACCTGCTCCCGCGCGCCCCCTCCGGGAGGGGCGGGGAGGGCGGCGGGGGGGCGCGGGGGGAGCGGCTACTCACGAGCCCCGGCGGGCGGCGGCGCGGGCGGGCGGCGGCGGCGGCGGGCCGGCGGCGCGGGCGTCAGCGTTACGTGGGGCCGGGGGAGATGCGCCGGGCCCCGGCCCCCCGCCCCCGGCCCGGCCCCCGCCCCTCCCCGGCCCTCCGCCCCCGGCCCGGCCCGCATTGTGTTCGGCGGGAGGCGGCCCGGCCATTAGCATGCGGGGGGCGGCGCGGCGGGCTGCGCGCTCGGGCTCCGGGGCCGGGGGACCCCCGGAGCGGCAAGAGGCGGCCGCCAGGGGGTGCGGGCCTTGGGGGGGCCGGGGGCGTCGCGCGAGGAGGAGGGGGCGGGGGTGGGGCGCGCAGACCGTTCCTCGAGGGGACTGGAGGAGATTGTGAAAGGTCATCTCGTCCTTCCCCCAGCCTCCAAGCAGGACTGCCCCTCCCACCCTAGACCCGGACATACCAGGGAAGGAGTTGGCTCTGCCGCTGCCTCTGCCCCAACATGCACAGGCTCGGGAAGTTCTTCCTGGGGTTTTATCTCAAAGCCTCTCCCTTACAATTTGTCTCTCTTTTGGGAGAGGAGGAGGGGCGATTATAGAGATAGTTAATGTCTGCCGTACAAGAAACATTATTAAAGTTACTCTTCCGCCTTTGCCGTTCTTGATAAACACTTCTCGCTCCTGCCTCACGAATTCTATTTTCCGTTCTTTAAGACACTTTAATGGCTCTTCAATGCAACAATATTTACTGAGTGCTCACCAAGCACCCGTGCTGTGCTCAACACTGGGGGAGATGCAGAGAGGAGGGGGATGTGATACTTTCTCCCGACGCGATTATAGCCCAAACAGAGGCTGCACACTCCTAAGTGGCATACTCAGATTTAGTCAATATTTACTCGATGCTTGTTCACGTATTTAGCAGCATGAGATCTTTCCAGTAATCCTCTATTATAAGCTCCCATTTACAGGTAAGACAAAGGTGCTCGAAGTCTCTCCTTCCACTGACCTGCGAATTCAGGTATCCTCACCGCCAGGCCTACCTCTCAACCCTGCCATTAAATAAAGTCAACACTCTTGGTGATTGAAAAGAGAAGAACCAGGCACAAACAGATGTCTGGTTCCCTTTAAACTGCGATTCCCTGTGCCCAAGAAATCAGCGTGGACACAGTGCTCCTGTGATTTTGGCTCAGCAGTGAGGTAGGGCAGAAGTGGCTCATGAGGAAAGACACTTTTCTTCCCTTTCTCCTGGGCCTCAACTCCCAGGGATCTTCTGGCTCAGTCTCCCCTCCCCCACCCCGTGGTTATAAATAATAATAGCCACCTTTTTTTAATGTGCTATGTGCTGGGTTAAACTAATTCATAAGCGTTTCTCTTAATGCTCAAGGCAACCCCACAAGATTGGTATTATTAATTTCTCTTTACAGATAAGGAAACAGATTAAGCAACTTCACTAAGGTCAGCCAGAAAGATCAGGGACACAAGCACAGGTAGTCTCATCTCAAGACCTCAGGCTCTTTCCTGCATTTGATCTGTAAAGTATACAGTCAGGCCAGTTGGTTCTCTTAGTGTGGAAATAAATATCCTCCCCTTAACTTCGGAGTAAGCCCTACAGAAAATGGACAACAGGTCCATCTGCATGGCCTTCTCAGCAAGCACCTGTAATGCTGCTCCAGTCACCCTGGAGTCAGCTACCCATTGGGGCATATTGTTAATTCTGTTTTCTCAGGAAATAAACTGAAGTTCAAATAGGTAAATTAATGTCACAATAATGTACCCAAGGTCACCAACCTGTAAAAATGGCAGAGCTGAGGCTACAGGAACCTTTTTCTTTCAAAAACATTGTTGCTGTAGTATCCTTTTCAAGACTGCACATCACATTTGGGCACCTGAGTCAGAAACAAACTACACTTATATACAGGGCTCTCCCTCCATTTAACCCATTTGTCAATGTCCAATTCACAAAAAGCCTTCAAGAAAGGGAGGAGCAAGGGCTTAGCTGGGTGGTAGAGAGCTTGCCTAGGGCACACAAAGCCCAGGGATGAATCCCTAGTGCTGCCCTTCGAGAAAGATGCAAAGAGGAGGGAGAAGCTGTCCAGAAAAGCCAGAGAACACAAACTGCTCGGGAACGGTTCCAGGAGGAGCAATCCACACAGTAACACACAATCTCACTAGGGCAGAACAGGTAATCTGAGGAGGGAGCCAAAGAACAAAGACTAGATGGAAATAAGGGGAGACTGAGGTCTGGGGCGATCATGCACATAGGGATGAAGTAAGTGAGGCCTGAAGAAGATGGGGAGAAACAGGACAACAGGAAGTGTGGCGGGTAAGGCAGGCCTGGGTGGCCTGTGGGGTGAATCGAGGCTGATGTCTGTGGCGTGGGGCCACTCCCTGGATCCTTAGGCCCTCATAGTGATCTTTGCCCCACCACACCTCAGCTCTGACAGACTATGTGCCAGGAAAATTTTGTTGTCTGCACTGAGCTACCAAGGCCCTAAGGAGTACTGGGACCCAGCCGAGATCCAACACTTTGGAGTGGCTGCTTCAGACTAGGTAGGTGTAACGTTCCGGGCCGAAAACTCTGAATTGGCAGTCGGCACAGGGGTAAGTGAAAGAGATGCTATGTGTTCTCATTTCCTGAATGGTCCCGTGATGAATTTTTCCAATCTAGGAAGCACCACTCTTATAGTCAAGGGAACCATGGATCATACTGCTGACCTGCCAAGGCAGGAGAGACCCAGCCTCCGTCTGGAAAAGCTACAGCACTGGGCAAGACACAGGCAAAGTGGACACCTATTGGTGGTGGCGGTGAGGCCAGGTTGCCCTGCTTCAGGCTTTGGCGAACTATACCCAGTTCAATTCCATTCATATTCAGTGAATACATACCATGTACTAGATACAGTGTTAGGCCTAGGAGGGGGGGGAGGAGGCATGTAGAAATTAGTAAGGTAAAACCATTCATTTCCAAAGGTAGCTTGCCTTTACCTTTGGGGAAAACATAAAGGTAAGAAAACTATAAAATGAGACAGAAGAAAAAACGTCATCTAATTTCACCTTTTTAACTGCCCTTTTTAAACTTTCCTCTACCGGGCACGTATCCCAATTACTGGTATGGAAAAGATGAAAACACTTTGTGAGGAGAAAGGATCTGACAGTCCCCTCTAATGACCCAACTCTGGCCTCCAGGTGAGCCAGCTATGGCTGGCGACAGCCATGGTGCCCTTTACTATCTCCGTTGCATGCTTGAGCTCTGCTTGTCATATGGCCACGGCACTACCACTCTGGCCTGGAGCCTCGGTAAGATCCACCACAAGGGGTGAAAGGAAGGAGGGTCCTAGGGGTCTCTCTCTAATAAGACTGGAGTTCACAAATTGCTCTTCTCACCATTTAGGGTTTCCTCACTGGGATTATCACCCTTGAGCTTCGGAGAGCACCTTGTATCTGGAAGGTGAGAGGAGAGAACACAGGCCTGCCCCTACTACTGCCCAACACACACACACACACACACACACACACACACACACTCATTGGGTGCACACACACACACACACTCATTGGGTGCACACACACACACACACTCATTGGGTGCACACACACACACACACTCATTGGGTGCACACACACACACACTCATTGGGTGCACACACACACACACACTCATGGGTGCACACACACCTCAAACAAAGAGCAATTATCCTCTCAGCTGTTTGTCCTGACCAAAGCAAGAAAGTAAAATAGGAGCAGAAGGTTGTAAGCCTCTCTCTCTCTCTCCTCCTCTCTCTCTCCCTGTGTGTGTGTGTGTGTGTGTGTTGCTGGGGATTGAACCTAGAGCCACATGCACAATAGGCAAACACTACCCCTGAGCTAAAGCCCCAGCTTTTTTTCCCCCTAATAAGTTCACTCAGGATGGTCTTGAACATATTCTGGAGTCCAGTCAGGTCTAGAATTTTTGATCCCCCTGCCTCTGCCTCCTAGGTGTCAAGGATTACAGGCCTATCTATACCACCAGTCCTGCTGCCTCTGAGTTTTGTGTTTAGCTAGGCTGTAGGTGGAGTTTGAGCTTGTATTGAGTCCCCTAGGCTGGGCAGGGCTGAGTTGGCTCACTGGTAGGTGCGGGCCATGATGATATCCAACACCTTCAACCTGATCTTGGGCTTCATCGTGCTGGTGATCGAGGTGATGAAGACAGCATTGGGATCTGCCCGTATTGCCCCCTCCCAGGTACTGCTGGGGGAGAACGGTACAGGGAAGAAAGGGCAGGAGAAAGTAGGGACTGTACCTCCCAAAGCATCCTCACCCTGATACCTGCAGTTGACAGGGTTACTGGTGCTAGAGCTCAGTGCTGAGGCCTTCACCCTAGGAGGAGTGCTGGTCTCAACATATGCCTTATTCTTGCTGAGCCAGAGGAAGCCAGGATGCTTCACAAGATCAAGTCTGCACTACCAGGAGCTACAAGAGGTACGGAGTGCAGGGAGGAAACATGAAGCAGCAAGCTTCCTGCTAACTTTTCTTCTGGCTGTACTAGTCAATACCACTTAGGGGCAAACAGTGGGGCTGTAGAGAAATGAAGGGTTGAAACTGACTGCCTTTCTGGCACTGAACGTTAGTCCCCCTAATGATGGATGGAAAGAAATTGGGTATTTAATGATTGGGACTACAAGTGCACAAACATTAATAAGCTACCTTAATATTATTATTATTGGACAGACACGAAAAACTGGGAGGGTTTTGCTTCTACCTGGGGTTTCTCCTTTCTTGACCCTAAATTTTGCTCATATCTGTTTCAGGGTCTCTCGGAGGTGGAGGAGGTTTCTGGTTTGGAGAATGGTCCCGTGGTGGCTAGCACAGGAAACAACAGATGAGTGAGTGGGTAAGACAGGTGCCACTGTCCTCCTACTCCAAGGGGGGCATTCTCCAAACACTTCTGCGTTATGTCCCTCCCTCGGACTGTAACTGAACTCCTCAGAGATGTGCATGAAGGCCGAAGGCGTGCCCTCAGTTTCCCTTCAAACCAGGCCCAAATCTCTTTTCTTCCCCATGAGAGGAAGATGTCACCTCACTTGACATGCTTCTTCCTCCCTGCCTCTCCATCCAGCTTCACATCTGCCTCATCTCACTGTTTCCGTCTGTTCACCTTTTCACAATCCCATCCATTCCGAGCCCGGCTGCTGCACCCGCCAACCCAGAATCCGCGTCGGTTGTGCTCCAGGTCTCCCTTGGATCCGGGTCCTGCCTAATACAACGGAGACTACAAATCCCAGGATGCCCCGCCACCCCGTGACCTACTGGAAAATAAAGAGCCTTCCCTCGGCGGCGGGGGCGCTGTGCATCTGCTGAGTGACGCGAGGCGCTGGGAGCAGGGCCTAGCCGAGTTTCCTCGGACGCGACCACTGGCCCCGCGTGCAGGGAGGAGCCGGGCGGGCTGTCGCGCACAGGGGTGCCACCACCGCGGCCAGGCAACCGCATTCGGCTGGGGGTCTCGAGCCCTCCTGCCTGCAGCTGCCGACACTAGCAAAGGCTGGGGGCCGGCGCCTGGCCGAGCCGCGCTTCCCCAGGTGCTGCCGCCGCGCCCCTCGCGCCAGTGCCCAGGTTCAAAGTCCTGAGACTTGGAGCGCGCGCGAGAAGGGGGTTGGAGATGATGAGTCAGTGGCGCCGGCCCTTCTCGCCCCCTCCCCCCAGGACCCGGCGCTGGAGAGGACAGGCTGGCTGGCTGGGCAGGCGGGGTACCGACCTAGGACTTTCCCGCCTCTAGCGAGCACGCTGGTGGACCGAGCCCGCGTGGCCGCCACCCTGTCCAAGGCGGGAGCAGGACTGCGCAGGCTCAGGCTCTTAGCAGCCCCCGGCGGGCCTTTGATCCCTGCTGCGATATGGTCGCTGAAACTGCTTGCACTGAGCCCACACCACTTATGACCTCTGCGAGTGTACAAAGATGACAGGCTCGGTGGTTTGGGGGAAAGCCCAGAAAAATGGTGGATCCCGATAACACCAGGGGGCAGCTTAGTAGCCGTTGAAAAGTAGAAATGAACTAGGCCTAAGAGAACTCACCCCAAATTCACATAGTGCCCGGGATGGGTGTTCGCCTCACATTTTTGTTCCCACTTGAGAAGGCTTCTTTCCCCTAGAAAATGCTGCTTCTCCGGGCTCAGGCAAGCCCAGGTACCAGTGAGGCTAGAGCGCAGCCTGCCTGGCTTGCCTTGACATTGCAGTGGCGCCAGCTGCAGATCCTTTCTGTTTGTGACACCTTGGGAGTGGTAATAGTCGCCCTATGACAAAGTTACGTGTGAGTATTAGTGGGTGGAGACAGTTCTGGGATCAGGCTCTGGAATGGAGAGAACCCAATCTGGGCCTCCCCCATTTCTTCTCTCCCCCAATCAAACTGCAGAAATCATGTGTGGAGGGCCCTGAAAAGAATATTTTTCTTCAAAGTCAGAACGTGGTGGCCAAAGAAACTATAGGAGGAATTAGGAGGAATCAGCAATTTGCTGTCTTCCAGCCTTTACTGTTGTGATCAGAAGCCTGGGAATTGCATTCCGGATCTTAAGAGATGCTCAATGAACGAGTCCTTTAACAATGCTGAATACTCAAGGCCAAGATCCCAGTGGTTTTATTTCTCATTTGTTGTCCGAAGTAACTGGCAACGGGCTTTGCTCATTGTAAATTATTAAGATCTCTTAGATGCCGAGGATCGCTTTTTTTATCTCATTGGCTGCCTGGAACTTGCCATGTAGATCAGTCTGTCCTTGAACTCCCATTTGATCCACGTGTTTGTGAGTGCTGGAATTAAAGGCATGTGTCACCATGAAGTTTGCACACACACACACACAACACACACACACACACACACACACACACACGCCCTTACCAACAATGTGAACAAAGCATGAAGAATTGTTCGTGAATTCTGCAATGGTTTTCCCCAAATAGATGCATGTTAACTTTCATCACAGTCCATTGATCAAAACAAATCACAACAGTGTCATCATAGGGAAGGTATTGTGGAAGATGAGGGAAAGCAGAAATAATTTAAGGAAAAGGTTAGGAATTTGAACCCTGAATCGCCAAATAGTTGAAATGTGTCTATTTAGCAGTTATACCTGTTTCTACTTGTTTAGTTCAGCAAACTTCTACATGAAATTCTTGATGGGAAAAAAAAAAAAAACAAGACTGGGTGTCAGGAAAACCTAGATGCTGGTTCTGTTGCATGGGCAAGTAAAATCTGTCTGGACTATACTTTGTTCACATAGCCATTATAGCCTATTTATCCTCTTCCCCTTACTGCAGCGCAAGTAAAATAGCATCACACAAGGAAAGTACTTTAAAATTATGAGGCGCTAGAGAGGTTAAAAATAAGTCAAAGAAGGCAGATAATGGTGAATATTAATGAAGTGGATAGGGACCAGGCAACAGGGCTGGAGGGAACTCAGTAGTACACACTACAGGTGTGAATGATGTGTGTACTCAACTCCACCAACTACTGCCACACGTGATTGTAGGAATGCCACATTTTTGAATGGGAGTCAGAAATTCTGACTTTGTGTGTAAAATATTCTGATTTTAAAATATTAATAATGAAATATTTTTTAATTCAAGGGTCTGATTCAGCCTGTAGTTCTGTAGATTTAAAAGTCAGTTTCTGCATTATGCAAATAATATTGTAAGAATTTGGTTTGAATCCCAGCACTCAGGAGGCAGAAGCAGGAGGAGCACTATGCACTTGAGGCCAGCTTGGTCTGCAGAGTGAGTTTTAAGACAGCCAGGAATACACAGGGAAACACTGTCTTGAGAAACCAAAACCAGCAACAACACAAAAAGAATTCTGTTTTGAGGGTGTACAACATGGTGTGTGTAGCTCTTGTGAAATATAAGAGTGTTGGGAGGGGTTAAACATGAAGTCACCTCTCCACAGCGTTGCTCTTCAGGAAAGGGTCGTTTTGTCTGCTGGGGATATTTCGCATATTTGAAGAGATTTTTTGATGGTCAACTGAGGGTGGGGGTGGTAAGGGAATGTGGAATGGCAGGTACATTAGCATATCAATCAGGAGATTGCCACTAATGCTCCTCCTCTGGCCTGTACCTTTTGCCTGCTGCAAGCCAAAACTGAGCTTTCTGCATTCCTCTCCCTCCATACTGACTGACCAGAGTGCCTGGCTGCTCTGGAACAGCATTCTGCATTTCTGCCATGCTCCTAGTGACCACTCCGTCAGTACCAATCTGGCAGCCTCTATGGAGGTCACCCATTTTATTTGAATCAGAACTCAACAAAAAGAGATTGTGGCAAGGCGCCTGCTGACGTCAGTTTTTAAAGGTCATGACACCCCTATTCTCTTGGTTTTACCCATTGAGGAGATATTTCATGTTGGGTGACTTCATATGCATCTTAAGCCTGAGAGAGTTGGGGTTCTGACGAATTCGATTCTCATTTCTACGAGATTCAGTCGTTTATCCTAACTCTGAATACATTGAATACAACTGACGATATTTCCCAAGTGACTTCTTTTCCATTTCTCGACCTGTTTTTTGGTTTGGATTTTAAGTCTCGGGTTGAGTCCTCTGCTGCCATCTCGTGGGCTCATGTTGCCTGGGTTGAGGTCTCGCGAAGTGTCTTCCTTCTAGAAATGGCGTTAGAAAGTGGCTTAGTTGGGGCAAAGAATTTCCTCTATACTTCGTGAAGCCACACCAGATTTCCCCACCCCTACCCTAGCCATTGGGCTGCGGGGAAACCTGGCCTCCCGGTAAGAGGCACTAGACCTTCTGGTCGTCCGAACCCCGTTGGACCTCCACTAGGCTATACATTTCTGGTCACTAGATCTGTAAACTCAGATGCCTAGCCCCAGTGGAAGGTGGACCTGCCTGTTTGGCCTAATTAACGCGCCTGGACCGGGATTCTCCTGTGAGAGCACCCCCGTGTGGTGTCTGGCGCCATGATCTTGTCTAGGCCTGCTTTTTGTTGCTCTATGCCCATATCCAGTTTTTCTGGGCTGGCTCAGCTACTTCAGATTCCATATTCTGTCAATGTGCTGAGCAGGATGGTAGGTAGTGCTGTGATCCCATAGTGCCAGTTAGTACAAAGGGGTCTGCAATAGTGATTAAGGTCTATCACCAGGGGACTGGGTGACTACCCCAAGCAGGACTACAGGACAATCATGCAATGACTTGCTTTCGGGAAAGGATGTTTAGTTAGTGCTATTTCTGTTTTCATTATAATATTCAGATAGTATCTAAAATACCAGCATTCAGAAAACACCAGTTGCTGGGGCTGGTGCTAGTGGTTAAAAGAAGGCTCATAACAGCTGCCAGCACATGTATGGTGGCTCACAACTCCCTGTAACTTTGTTTCTGCACATGGTACATACATACTCAGGCAGGCTCATACACAGACACACAAGTAAATGAAAAGCTTTTTAGAAAGTTACTAACACAAACAGTCTTAGAACTGTCCCCCATTGGCTCATCTTACTGCCCATCCTTCATGATGTCCAGCCTTAGCCTTCTACTAAAAGAGGAGCTGAGTGTGGCATCATGGGCCTGAAATCCCAGCACTCATGAGCCTAACATAGAAGGACCTTGAGTTCAAACCTAGGCTGGGCTATATAAACAGAAGGTGGGTGTGTACAGATGTCTGTCTTAACCTGTTTTCTCCTTATAATTGAGAGGAAAGGGCCTGCTGGTGTAATTTCCTAGACTACTGGCCAGGACTGAGTAGCCATAACTAGCGATGATTTACTATGAATTGTTTGTTTGTTGTCCCACTACCTAATAATACAGGGGCAGAAAGGTAGTGGCACACGCCTTTAGTCCCAGCACTCGGGAGGCAGAGGCAGACGGATCTCTGTGAGTTCGAGGCCAGCCTGGTCTACAGAGTGAGTTCCAGGACAGCCTCCAAACCCACAGAGAAACCCTGTCTCGAAAAGCCAAATAATAATAATAGTAATAATAATAATAATAATATTAAAAAATAATATATCCAGTAGATGGGTATCATCTGTTCTTTTGTTTTCCTTCTTTCCCTTTTTTTTTACCCCCAACCTTATTTCTGTACATTGTTAATAAAGTTTCTCTATTGATTCTTATCCCAAGGTGTAATTTGTTTTGTAGCTTCATAATTACGCACCCCTCTTGTGTACGATGTAATATGTCCACTTCTAAGCTTTGGTAAGAATACTAAGCATAGTGGCATAAGACAAACAAGATTTTTGCCTTTGTAAATTTCAAATTATGCTGAAGAGAAATTGTCCTTCATAATCCTAATATGTGAAGCTACCCATGAGGGGCTAGTTTTTAACCAAAAAAAGGTAAGAGACAGGGCCAATTTCCAAAGAGGGGCTT